TTCCCAAAGACTGGTATTGGCTGAGCTTCCCTGGGATGAGTGAGCATTCAGAAGAGGAAGCTCAGGTTTCCAGTACTGGTCAGCACCTGAAAATGCTGACGTTGTTGGTGACATGCGCTCTGGGCTCTGCAGAGTCTGCTGGCAGATTGAGGGATTGATTAGATTTTTCTTTAGGGATTCGGGTCTGAGGAGGATGGTGGGACTCTTACCTGGCCTGAGTGGTGAAGGAGGCCCAGCCCAGACACAGGGACCAAGGGTCAGCTGAGCTGCCTTTGGCTTACCCAGGTGGATCACAGCCAGGACCCATAGAATTCGCACAGCAAAACACCCTTCTCAACAAGTTATCTCTTACAGCTGATAATATTTAAGGTTATTGTTTTGTTATATTTTGTTTAGAAACTCAGCATACTTCTTTGTGTTGAGTTGTCATCTGACATTTCCTGATAGAGCAAATCTTACTGATTTCATGAATGAAAAGCCTAGGGACAATGAAGAAAACAGGAAAAAGATCCAGACTTTATTTTGATAACTGGGGAAACAAACGATAGGAAAAAACCACTGGGATTAAAGAAAATTATACAGCTCCTCCAATACAGAGTACCACAGTTCTTTACGAATTGGCTTGCATAATATCAATGATATCATGATAAACTTTTTGATAGACATCTAATCCAAACAAAAAGTCTAGATGATTGTAGTAAGAAATAGTTTTGTGGTAAATGGACTTTGTGATTTCAGAAAGTAAAATTCTGACATCGTCAGGATCAGCCAAGTAGTCATTTTTACCACTCCAAGTAGCAGTTGGCACATTCATTTTTGACACATTGTACACTGGAGATTCTTTCTAAATATAAAAGGATAAAAATATGTGTTTTCATGGGAGAATAATACAGCAACAATATCACTCACCAATTCTTTAAAGATTAAGGAGTATTTATTTCATATCCAAAAGGGCAGGCTTATTAATAAAGGGAGGAAAGGGTAAGAATTATTTGCACAGACACTAGCAGGGAGAAAGAGCTCCCCAAGAAAGGGACAGGTCTGCTAAAAGAGAGGTCTGCATAGTTGCAGGCGGGCAATCTTCGCACGAGCTGCCTCTGCTGCCCTGCAAAGGGAAAGAGTTGGCGAAGACAAACACCTGTGTAGGCACAGGTGGGCACAAGGACTGCTACCAAGTACTATTAAAATAAGCTACATCTGAATTAGGTATTGCTATGGAAACAGTATAAAAAGACAACTATTATAATTTTTTTCTTAGAAATCATTTATAAATCAAACCTAGACAGTTTGCTCAAAATCAAGAGTATGAAGACATTTCATGGAGGTAATGGAAGTTTTATTTATTTATATGGTAGTTTATAATGGTAGTTTATTTATAATGGAAGTTTTATTATATAAGCATGAAAAATTTAACTAAAATTTGCTATGGCTTTATAACTATTAGTATGTTTTATCAGTAAATGATAAGTATGTCAGTTAAAATCAACTCTGATTTTATTGAATTTGATTTTTAGATTTTACTTCAGAATTTTACAAGAGCAAGTCACATCAGGCAGGAGTTAAGCTGATGCTGAAAAGTCTGGTGGAAAAGCATGAATTTCAAAGTAGACAGACTTCAGCGTGGGTTCTATTCCTTTAAGACTTCTATCATTATCTCATACAATTTTTACCACAATTAACTTCTATTTTATTTTAATTACTGTATATGCTTTCCTTCCCAAACATAATAATAGTTTTAGGATAGCACACTATATTGCATATTTATATTTTATTTTTAAAAAGTATGGAACTATGCATATTATAGCATTTTTCCTTTTGAACAACGATGAATTATTCTACTGCCTGACACTTTTTCTAGACTTAGCCAAGGTAATTGTTGTTAAAAAAAAAGTTGGCCCTCCCTTGTGGCGCAGCCGGTTAAAGCACAGCACTGAGAATCTAAAGCTGCTTCCCCATGAGTTCGATTCCTGCCTGCCCTGGAGGTGACCACATGGTATGGCAGACCTCTCCTGACCCACCCACTGCTCCCCTCAGCAGTGCACTTCATCGATCTGCCTGTTCTGTTCCTGCTCTGTCTCTGGTGAAGCCTCTCGCCGCCCCTGAGCCTCTGGCCTATACCCTGGTTCTGTATGCACAAATAAATAAATCTTTAAAAAAAAAAAAAGTTAACAGGGAAAAGCCATTTGATAGGCTCTAACAATAAGGAGCCTAGTCAAGGTGATCTTCATCAGCTGGTCCTTCCCCTTTGTTTCTTAGGCTTTAAAGATGAGACTTAATCTGTAGTAAAATCATATGAACCTACTAGGAAAATAACTTTTAGTTTATACCTAGCTATTTACCTGATTATAATGAAGCAAGTTCTGAGCAGGACTTCCCCAGTCAAAAGCTTTCAGTTGATCAGAATTAAAAAGCTGAAAAAAAAATTAAAATGTAAGACTGTACACCTTTGTCCATCACAATGCAGCTGATAGGAGAGAGGAGTAGATGTACATAATGCGCATGTCTCTTTGTCCTGGGTTTTCTGGAGGCATGGGTGGGTTTCTTTGTTGCTCACCTTTTGATAAGTTAAGAAAAGGTGATGTGTATGTGTGTGTGTGTGTGTATGTGTGTGTATAGCTTATAAATAAGAAAAACAGTATTTGTAGCAAAATACTCATAGATGGTGTGATTTTTATTTTTCCTTCATGATTTTGCATTATTTTCTTTGTCTCTACATCAGAATGACTGATTAAAGCAAATAATTCCTTAATACTTGTTAAATGAACAAATACAATCCACATATTATAAGTAATTAGGACACTTACATATTAACATTTGAAACACATTCAGAAACAACTTCTCATCACATTTGTAAAAATGAAAATGTGAATGAAATTTTAATTTAGCTTAAATATCCCTTTAAGTACAATTTAGTTTTGCAAAAGTCTTTCAAGGCTTACTGAAAGTGCAGGATTTACTGAAGAGAACATATCTATATAGTCACTGACTGTCAAAGTCTAATTTCTCATAATTTCTGAAAAGAAAAAGTACCCCTCAAGACAAAGAATTCATTTTAAAATCTACTATACATTTAAACATGTACAAATGTATACATTTTGTAAATTTAAAACATTCTCATATTTCTATAAATATGTATGAAAAGAACTTCTTACTATCTTAAGAAACAGCTCTAAGTGTACTTACTTTTGACCCAAACTATGATTCAACCTATTCTTTAGTAGAATACTCTGTAGGCAAAATATTTGTCTAAATTTTTACTTTATATATTACAGAAGTTAGTGGTGCAAATCACAAAAATTTAAAGAATGCTATGGCATATGTTTATTAATCAGTATGATTCAACTATAAAGACAAGTCACTCTAAGATTGATAATTTACTATGTTGCCAACTCAGCTATCAGTTAAAATTTTCAAACCAATTTCCTTAGGATGTCCACAAAAATTTATTTCAATATTATTTTTCAAAATATATTT